CATTAAGGCACATCATTAGTCAACCTTATGAGCACCAAAACTAACATAGCATTAAGGATTTGAGCACTGACAGCACGGTGATGTAGCCGGACTCCAGCTGGGGCAGAATTATTTGATAAGACAGAATCGGGCTTGATCAAAGACGGCGCCTGTTTTCCACTTGGCGTTGCCTCTGCTCCACGATCTCTGTCTGGAAGTTCAACTTCTCCATTACTTTGTTGTCGAGCTTTTGCAGCTGCTAAGGTGGCAGTAATAGCCTCAGCTTCTGCGGCAGAAGCCTCCACTAGATATTCAACACCTTTGATGAGTCTCCTGCAAAACAAACCACAAGATAGATCTTTAGAAACTAATCATACAATTAACATAAAACAGATAGCAGATGCTGTCGTTCCTATGCAACTGCAAACTCACCGAGATCCTTGAAGCGTCGCATTTTCAGTGCTTATATCAGAATACATATCACCATTTATAGGGGGTGCAACAGGAGTTCCCAGTACAACTGAGCCATCATTAACTACCTCAGGGTCTGTTTGCCTTGTTCTTTCATCACCAAACCCATACCTTCCTGCTATCCTCCCAGCAGCTGCAGCTGCTGCATGTGAAGAAGCTGCACTAGTTGTTTCAGCAGCGGCCAAGTCTTCGGCAACAAGCAAGTCATCTAGCAATACCCCTGCAAAAAAACACAGCAGGACTAAACTTGTTGCAGGAACCAAGAGGTGATCTGAATAACTTCTCCCAAGGCATTTTCATTACACTTTTTTTTTCCTTACAGTTGGAAACATGCAACAGATACAATTGAGCCTGTATGATTTTCACATCTGACAGAGTAACATGGTGACTCAAACCCACAACCGTAAATGTTGGAAGTGGAGGGTGCTTGCCACTTGAGCAACCCTCTCTTTTTTTATGACCGAAAAATCCGTTTTGAGCCAACCCTCTAGGCACACCGCAGTGTCCGGAACTCGGGAACCTTCTCCACTTAAATACCAGAGTTAGTTCGCTTGGCGCAAGGCTCGAACCTATGACCTAAGACACAAGTCCCTCAACCTTTGCCAATTGAGCTACCCTCTCTTGTCTGGCCTCAGTGCAGTTATTAAAATTTTTTGAACAGAGAAAGTTGTTCATCTACGTGCAAACATTACTTATCAGTATGAGTTGCACCACATCATTACAGCTAAAGTGGACCAGTTCTAAAACTCTTGAATGAAATCCTTTTACACCCGACTGGAATAGGCCCTCCATTAATTCAGCACTTGATCTTAGCCAAAAGGCCAAGAAAGGTATAATAATAATAATACAGTACTTGAAAAGTGACAATGTGAGTTTATTTTTCAGTGATATCTAATTACTGAGTCAGATAACTTGCTATGCACCAGTGGCAGGATAAGCGTTACACCGATGAAAGACACAGGAACCAGCATGAGTGTGCTTCATGAAAACCTTTATTCTAACAGGCTATATGCACACTAGAGAACGGGATTTAGCTAGTGAAGACCACTTATGAATGCCTAAACCATAGCACATCCTGAACCAGCCCTGGAGCCGAAGAAAGAAGATAGAAGATACTTTTAGTTACTTTACAATTTCTTTTTTTCACAGTTCTGGCCAGCTAGTTACTTTACTATTCCAAGAAAAAGTAAGAATGACTGTCATCTGAAATCAAACTTGAAAGCAAATATAAGAACATTGATTGATGTCTATCTTATAGTCTTACCACCACGCAGACCACCATAAATAAATATCAAGTCACCAACAGCAGCAGCCGCATGTCTACAACGTCTGGTCAATTCAACTGCAGCATCTCCCCCAGCTGCGTCTGCACTGTATCTGCCAGTTCTAGGACTAGTGACAACAGACTTCGTGTCACACCACACTCCTGCGGCAGTATCAAGAACTGCCAAAAGGGGGTAAAGAACCATAATAGTGAGGGATGAACATAACAGTGCAAAAAGTGTTATCTCTACTATGTATCGACCAAAAGCAAAAAATACCTGCTATACTAGATGAATCCTCCACCATGCGTCCACCACCAAGTGCCCCTCCAGATACATGGAGCCGAGCATTAACAAAAACCTATAATATCAGAACGTAATTGATAAATACCGTATCCATGTGAAAGTATGCAGTTAATCAAAGGAATGAAACAAACACGTACAGCAGCATGTTGATATCTAGAGGATGGTGACACACCAGGAGCAATGGCCCATTCCCAGCGCCCATCTCTATGCTTGGCAAGTCCATATGCGCTGGCCAGTGGCTGTGGATGAACAAAGCAGTGGGAAAAGTAAGTACAAGTACAATCAACCAATGAGCGCAAGAGCATACGAGGAAGTAACAATTTAAAAGCTCGGGGCCCCATCCAATTAACAATTATACCAAAAGAAGATGAAAGAGCAATAAAAAAAACACAACTCTTGAGTTCATCACTTATGTTACATGGATCTTCAAATCTGTTTTGACGAACCCATGTCAAACAGGTGTAGTATAGGTGTGGATACTTTATGGCTCTAAAGAATACACTAAGAATACCAAAAATCAAACACTGCACTGGACACTTACGCAACCCCATATACGTACTCATATAGTCGGTACAAAAAAATTTCTGCCCTGCATCATTGCACTATAATCCCCATAACCTTTTGAGTATCCAACTAAACCAATCACATGGTGGAAGTTGAAAACACGGTTTTCTGAAGTACCATCAAACCATGCTGCATATACTTCCTTAACCTCAAGCCCCAGACATCCATTGTTCATTAATCTCAAATCACCAATCCGCTCCACCACTCAAATTGTTATTGCTATGTTTAAGTGGATGAAGCTCAACACGGCATCATCTTTCACTGACAGTTTCTTGGGCATAGAAATCCGGAAAAGATAGTTGCTAAGTCTGTTATTTTTAAGTGAGTTAGCGAAAGAGTACAGAAACAATAGTTTGAAGTATCTAAAAGATGATATGATAACAAGATATCACATCAAATTACAATGCTCAACACAAACTTCAGAAAATACAAATCATGGAAATCTCTCTTTTCACTCTTATGTCCTTAATTTTATAGCGAAAAAAAAGGCTTTGCAATATTAAGCTTAAGTTAGAGGAAATGTCTTTAGAAATGTAGTTTGAGAGGCAAACGTCATAACCTACTGAAAAACAAATAAAACAAAAGGTCAAAATGATATGAGATTTCGATCATAAGTTTTTGGCAAAGCATTTAGGGACTAAGGTAGGACTTTACACTCCTCTAGTTACTAGCACACTTCCCCTTATTTTATGGACCACATAACCCTCTTTTTGGTCCTCTCTCCCCTTTCTTAACTAGCTTTGCACTCATATGCCTTTTATAAACCAGAAAGAGACAACAAAAATACTTACAACCAATAAAACAGACTGCTCTAGATGAAAATCAGCTTTCTCTTCAATAAGCAAATCCACCAATGGATGTCTCAAAGTATGAGAAGAAGTCGCATTTTCCGCAACATTAAAGGCTATAACACAATCAAACATTTAGTTGAGCAGGCATTGTGGGAAACAAAGTTTTGTACTCTGACAATTTCTTTTTACATGTCCTTAAGATTTTACTGCATATACAGCCAATTGTGAATAGATCAAATCTTCTTCTTCTTTCACAAGGTTCTTGGGTGGGGATCCTTATTTTGGCGATGAACTTTTCCCCAAATGTAAGGCTAGGTTCTACCACACATAAGTCAAAGCGGCAAAGCAGAGGGGCTGCAGACTAATAGGGTATCACCAAGCAGAATGTTGCAGGGATCATGGAATAAGGATTGTGTTAGGTACCAGAGAAGGGAAGGGGGAGGGGAAGGCTGGCACTGGGAAAACGGTTTCCCAGCAGAGGTTGGCAGATGGGTAGATCAGGGAGAACAAGGTGGCAATGCAATGGAGTACAACCAAGGTAGGGATCAAGAAGGCTAGAGATTAGGGAGATCTGCAGAGTGTAATCATGAGACGTGAGACAAAGCTAGAAAGGTGAGAGGACATGACAAAAAAGTGAGGTAATAAGAAACGCCGTTCTCCATAGAAATAATAAAGGAGTATATTTAACAAAAAAGAGAAAGATAAAGAGCTCCACCCAAGTTTATCCATTAAAGCGATTAACCACTAAGTAGGTACACGAAATGGGAAAAGTGAAGCACCTCCAAACAAATGAGCAAAATTTGGGGCAGAGAGACGGAGGATGTTCACATAAAATGGTTACAGACATAATTAACTAAACAAAGGTGTCCTCGCCTAAGCAATTTTTTCAAATTCGACTCTCAATGCAACCTATCATAAGAAAAGCAGTTTGCATGCACTTGGCTGAGGAGGTAGTTTGTCTCACATATGAGGATGCCGAAAAGACAAGTAAATGAATAAAAGAGTCCCTTCCCTAGCAGCAAAACTTTTTAGAAGAGGTGATTCACATAATAAAATAAGAGAATGACTCTATGTGAGGAAATGGAAATAAAGAGGAGTCAGAGAAGGAGAGAGAAGGAGATAGGGCTGAGACAAAGAAAGCATGATTTGTTCTAGAAAGAGAACAATCTTTCTAGCGAGATATCCTTCTAACTTTTACGTGCAAGTAAAAATGCTAATGATAAAAACCAAGGGAACAAGTAAATCAGTATAAAATCCATCATTTTTTCTTATTGCATCAGAAAGCATGCTTCGCTCACCACACTATTGGCATCCCTCCAAACAAATGAGCAAAATTTGGGGCAGAGAGACAGAGGATGTTCACATAAAATGGTTACAGACATAATTAACTAAACAAAGGTGTCCTCGCCTAAGCAATTTTTTCAAATTCGACTCTCAATGCAACCTATCATAAGAAAAGCAGTTTGCATGCACTTGGCTGAGGAGGTAGTTTGTCTCACATATGAGGATGCCGAAAAGACAAGTAAATGAATAAAAGAGTCCCTTCCCTAGCAGCAAAACTTTTTAGAAGAGGTGATTCACATAATAAAATAAGAGAATGACTCTATGTGAGGAAATGGAAATAAAGAGGAGTCAGAGAAGGAGAGAGAAGGAGATAGGGCTGAGACAAAGAAAGCATGATTTGTTCTAGAAAGAGAACAATCTTTCTAGCGAGATATCCTTCTAACTTTTACGTGCAAGTAAAAATGCTAATGATAAAAACCAAGGGAACAAGTAAATCAGTATAAAATCCATCATTTTTTCTTATTGCATCAGAAAGCATGCGTCGCTCACCACACTATTGGCATCCCTCCCTCCACAAAGCAGAAGAAGACCATCAGATCGCGCACTTGCAGTTGCGTACCTAGCCAAGTAACAAGAGCAGATTAGGACTTCATTACTTTACTGGACACTTGGACCAGATTAGATTCACAAGAATTTATCTTCAGTTGGACATCACCAGAGGAAACTAGTGAGAATACACAAACAAAATTCAGAATAGATGAAGATGCAAATGTGTAAAATGCACTCCGACAGCTTTAGTTCAACAAACAGTACAGTCTAAAGAGACTTTGCTAAAAAAATGTAGAAGTTTTGAAAAAATAAGAGACCAACATATGCTCAAACTGTCACAACTGTTCATCAAATACCCATCTTCAGATAAGAAAAAAAATGTACATCCCACTGCTTGAGCCTTTGTCATGTTTATGTTTCAAAATTGGTGTGTCCGGGCCATCGAGCATGCACCTAAACTAATCAACCAAGACAATTTGCAATATAAGCACACGTAACAAAGACCTGCCAATAATGACTACAGCAGATGGGCTCCCAGTAAGTGTAGTAGCGGATTTTGAACCTAGAATGACCATATTGTTATCCTATGCCTCAATCAAACTCCCTAGAAGACATGCCAAGATATATCTTCTTTGTTTCATTGAATTCTTTATTTTCTTCTAGGTCAGCGAAAAACTTATAAGAAACATCACCAGAAGGATTAACTTGTTTTATTAATATTGAAAACTCGTACCTTTACTTCACTATTAAAACCTCAGAAAAGGAGCTTCGCTCATCATGTATGAAAACAGAAAAATAGGTGCAAGAAAACATGCTATTCTAGAGAGATGGCAACTCCGTCAGTAGCAACTGAAACTGACTTGAAACCAAGAACATGCCAGCGAGGTGCATAATTGAGCCACTCAACCATCAAATAGTAGCAATAGTTTGTGGAATTTCAAGTTTTAGTTTCCTAAAATCATACCAGGGCAACATTTCCATCATATCTACCTCTTCAAAAATAAGGACTTATCCACGGAAATGCTGATACCAATAATTCAGCAAATTTCTCTTTTTTGAAGTCAATGTCGTATGTATATCTTTACTGAAATAGTCTATACAGTATGGTTTTCTGAACAAGGCTTAAGCACAATAACCACCACCACCACTTCCGAAAACATCATATTTTTTGAGTGTGATTTATGAAGTCAACAATTTATTGATTTTTCCTGCACAAGCACAACAACAACAACAAACCCAATATAATCCCACAAGTGGGGGCTGGGGAGGGTAGCGTGTACGCAAACCTTGTCCCTATCATGTGAAGGTAGATAGGTTGTTTCTGATAGATCCTCGGCTCAAGAAAAGGTGAAAAAGGAAGAGAAAGGAAGAAGAAGAAGAAGAAGAAGAAGAAGAAAAAAGAAAAAAGAAGAGAAGGAAGAAGAAGAAAAAGAAGTAGTACCAAACAATAACAACAGGAAAATAAGATAACTAAAGCGCACGAGATCATAGGACATAACAGGGATCTACGAATATGAAAATACAAGAGTACTACTAATACTACCGGTAAAGAAAGGGGAAACTCTCGACTACTTACTAACCTTCTACCCTAATTATCGACCTTTACACCCTCCTATCAAGGGTCATGTACTCAGCAAGCTGAAGCAGCGCCATGTCCTGCCTAATCACCTCTCTGTACTTCTTAGACCTACCTCTACCTCTTTTCAAACTTGCCATGACCAACCTCTCACACCTTCTAACAAGAGCATTTGTGCTTCTCCTCGTCACGTGCCCGAACCATCACAGCCTCGACTCCCGTATTTTGTCCTCCACGGGGGCCACTCCAACTTTGTCTCAAATAACTTCATGTCTAATCTTATCTCTCCTGGTATGCCCACACATCCATCTTAGCATCCTCATTTCTGCTACTTTCATCTTTTGAACATATGGGAGTTCTTAATTGGCCAACACTCAGCCCCATACAGTATAGTTGGTCTAACCACCACTCCGTAGAACTTAATCTTAAGTCTTGGTGACACATTCTTATCACATAAAACACCGGATGCGAGCCTCTATTTCATCCACCCCCAGTCCAATACGATGTGTGACATCTTTGTCAATCGCTCTGTTACCTAAAGCATCGAATACAAGGAAGTGAACAAAATGTTGACAGAGGATCAAGGATACAAATAAAAAAGCATGTGACTTAAAATGTATAAAAACTTTGCAACTTTAAAATCTTGATTTAAAGGAACTACTTCTTAAACATATGACTATTTGCTCTACTCTAAAGACAATACTAGAAAAGGAATGTCATTTTCCTCACAAGTCTATTTACAATACGTAGTAATGCCTCTTGATTCTTTTGAGTGTAGCGAACAAATTCCACGCATAGTTATCTCATGTCAACATTAATATGTATGGAAAAGAAGTTAGTGTTACGCACCAGTAAAGCCAAATTGAAAACTCTTGTTTTATAGCCGAGAAATCCCCGAGGGCTAGTGGCACACAATTTGAGATTCGATGGATAATGCCCCCTAACATTCTCCACTTAAATACTAGGCTTTTGTCTGCGCCAAGGCTTGAACCCGTGACATGTGCCTAATCCACACATCACGTGCTACGTTAAAAGCTACATTTAAATCTCATGGAAAATACTTTTTAATTGGAATAATTAACCAATATAACAACTCAGTCTCAAAATGAAGTTAGTTGAGCCGGCTACATGAATTATCACTATCCGAATCGCTTCATTTCGACTCGTTCTATACAATATTTAAAAAAATTATGTTCTCTAACACTAGAAGGCTCTAAGTTTCAAAAAGTAACAAATTTCTAACATTAGTAAAAGACTCCAAAAAATTATTGAACCTAAAGTGAGCTAACCAATATGACCAAGCCTCAATCCCAACAAATTGGTATCACATATATGGATAATTTTCTTTCATTATGACCTATTTTTCTCTAAGTCTCCACAAATTTCAAGAGATTCTACGTCTTTGAAACAACTTTCTTCAATGTGCATCTAGAAGTCAACTTAGGACATGACCAAACCATCTCAAGTGATCTTCTCTTATATTGCACTTACAACTATAACAAGCTTAATACTTCTTTTTAAAAGTCAAAAGATCTAAGCAATTTCCCAATATCATGTCCCCACACAAAGTATGTTTTTATTTTCCGAGAGAATTATAACATTGTATTCATCAGTACAACATGTAAAGGCAACAGCATTTATAAGCTACAGGCCCTTGTGTATTTTACAAGGCTTCCAAAAATTGCAAAATAGATTCAGCATCTACTAAAGAAGACTCTTTACACCAAAACTAAAGATTTAAAATACAATTCATTTTAACTACTTGAATGAGCTGCTAGTATCTTCAAAACATTTGTTGTTTCTTTTCCTCCAGTAGTAAGTATGGTTTATATCAAATACAATATGGAATATCTTTATAACACCAAAAGCTTATAAAAAACAAAAGGGAGCTGCTAGCTCTTCTCCTCAAAGGATTTTCTACACACTTAAGTATCGTATTTCATTCCTTTCAAATTAACAAGAAAAGAAAATACGGAGTGACCTTCTACAGCTCTTTATTTCATGTATCCAGCTTCTTTATCCTCCAACCAGTCGAGGACTTTGCAACTGTTTCAGGTAGCGTTCACATATTGTTGAAAATGAAAAGGAACAAAGCTAATAACTCTATCGCAAAAGTGCACCAGAAGATGGTTCACTTTCTGCCTACTTTATACGCAAGCAAAACCAATGAACTATGATGCAATTTCATTTCCTTAAATTATCTGCCATCAAATGCACACACCACTCGGAAACTGGCCAGCTTTTTAGATGTCAATGATCCATCATAAGTCAACACATACTTTTATAAGCCAAAGAAATAAAGACACCCCCTCCCTTAAGGGAAAAAAAAAGAAAGAATAAGCTGGATTATTGGACTTGGAACTCGGGTATAGATAACAAAATCATCACGATGTAGGTATCTCAAGAAATGACCATGAGGCATTTTCTTTTATGAATAGAGTACAAAAGATCACTTGCATTTTCTTATATGGATAACCCCCCAACCAAACCCCGGAAAAGGAGCCCAACAGTAACTCTTTCCCACTTTGCCTTGGTGACTTGAAACTCCAACCTTGTGGTTGGAGGGGAGAGTTATCTTCAAGAAATGACCATGAGGCATTTTCTTTTATGAATAGAGTACAAAAGATCAGGTACATTTTCTTATATGGATAGCCCCCCAACCAAACCCCGGAAAAGGAGCCCAACAGTAACTCTTTCCCACTTTGACCCCTTGGTGACTTGAAACTCCAACCTTGTGGTTGGGGGGGAGAGTTACCTGTTGGCCATCCCTTGGTGACTTGAAACTCCAACCTTGTGGTTGGAGGGGAGAGTTACCTGTTGGCCATCCCTCCCTTGTCAAGGGATCAGATTTATTCTAAACAGTCACTGAAGACTACCACTGTTTACCACATGCTGCTTCTTTGATTGATATGTACAAACAAAACTTCATGTTCTTCACCATGTAATAAAAAACATAAAGTTCAAAAAAGCAAATTGAATACAGTCAAAAGTAACAAGAGAATATGAAAGTCATGTTCAATGAGGAACTAAAATACACATCTTCAAGAAAGCGATCATGAAATTTACATGCAAGGAGGTGGACCTTCACCCTCAGGTTCCAATTTGCGCCATTCATATGGCTTGGCAGCTGTGTCCAAAGCCCAAACATCCGCTAGAGGCCGTTTTCCTGAAAATAATGGATCAACTTTTTATTTCTTAAACTTTAAATGCTTAAAAATGGGGAGGGTTTTTTCACGGGACTGACCATCATTTCCACCAATAGCCATGAGATATCTTTGCCCTACCAAAGCCATGACATGGCCATAACGTGGCCCTGGACCAGGTCCTTGGACCACAACCCTGAAAAGACCAGAATTATCTCAGTAGTTGATCAGCACTTCCATATTTCACACTTCACCAGCATACACCACGTTCACTGAAACTAAGTCATTACTTGAACTGCTAAATGCTAACCTGTGCCATCGTGGGCGTTGTTGTGTAAGGTCCAGAACATGAAGATCCTCAGCTGACAAACCAGCTGGACCAATTCCACCCTGGGATGGATAATATAGAGCATCTTAATTAGCTGAAGTAGATGATCATGGACACCCCAGACAAAATACTATAAGTTTTTGATGAAGTAATGAGTTTTATAGAAAAAGGCATCAAAAAGATGCAAGAAGTACAAGAGGGGGAAAGAGTCAGCTTTGATACAAAAAAGAGAAGAAATACTAGGCTAAAGCAAAAGAACTGACAAAATCCAAAAAGTTAATATGGCAATCTACAGGGGCTAAATACAAATACTATAAGTTTAAACCAACCTGAATAACAACCATGGTTCCAACGGCTGTAGCAACATGAGCAGCCCTTGGCGTGGGTGGCTCTCCTATGGGAGTCATCCTGTGATCATTAAGAAGCAGAGACATACTTTATCCATTCTCAGTAAACCACAAAATAGAAAGTAGCTTATCAGTGATACCAATAGCCACTTACCTAGACCATTTATTTGTCAAAACATCATAGCAGTGCACATCAGCTGTAGCACCTGCTAAACCTGCAATTAAGATCTCTTCTATCAATTGATTATTCTACAAAAAACAAATTCTGTTTCTTTTTTATGCATAAACATTGTATTCAGAGGTTTTCTGAGACCAGTAAAAATCATTTCACTCGTTGCATTTAGTCTACACAACTGGAAAGTATACCATATCCTACTCAAGTCCAAAAATTGCCCAGAAAAAAGGGTACAAGTTGGATAAATAGGAAACTTCAAGGAAACGTACGAATTCCAGCACTTCCAGCAGCAGAAGGAGTCCCTGAAGCAGCAGAATTCCCTTCAAGCGCAGTTGCACCACCAAAGAGAATAAGCCTGGGACCAATGTAATTGGGGCTACCCTCCTCTCCAACCGCCGGTACAGCCGTTAAGGTATGTCCACACCTCGGCCCTGGACCATCCTCCTTCTTCTCTAGAACAGCGTGCACCACCGAGTACGTCGGAGCACACCTCGGCCCCGTCACCGGAGTACTGCCCTGCTGCTGCTGAGAAGTTGCCGGATGCTGCTGATCCTGAGGAGTCTCCGGCGGAGATCCTCCAGCCGATGACTGGCCGTTTAGCTGCTCCGACGACGCGCCGTTATTCTGATCGTGATCGGATTCCGATGACATCGCTGAATCCACGTCCATATCCCCCACCTCCAAACCCTAGATTCTTAAGCTTGTCGGAGCTCCAATTCTCAACCATGCGCATTTCGGATCAACATTTCCAATCCAGTTCAGACCCCAAATGTCGAAAATTACAAATTCAGATCCTCTGTTTCAAAAACATCCAAATTTTAGGAGAAAATTACAGACCAAAAGAGAGAGAAGTCTAAGTTTTTCTTCTCTCTTCTTCTTCTTCTGAAGAAACTTCAAGGCGGTCGAGGAATAACAATCCAAACAGTTCCTCTCTCTAAAACGCTCTTCTTCTCTGTCCAATCCTCGATCACTCGTTCTCTCTCTCTCTACGAATATTTAAATGTATGTATAGGCGCACATTTAGGTATATCTATCTGTATCTATAGATTTATACGTATTTTTCTGCACATAAAGTATCTCTGTCTCTCTCATCTGTCTAAGGGCTATGAAGAAATCTGACTACACTGGACTTTATTTTTACCTCTCAGGGTACAAGTCCTGAAGCGAGATTTACACTGTGTTTATGCAGATCGTGCAGATATTACAGCATGTGGTACAGCAGCTTTAACGGTGATAACCGGTTCCGATTTCAACGGGAAGGGTTCCCTCGTTGATTGGGTGAAAATGAAGGATTTAATGAGACGCGCATGAGCGGCGCGTGTGGAGATGGATGAAAGTGATTCAACCTGACGAATACATATGGGATGAGAGATGGCTTTGACTAAAGATAATGGTTCATGATTATCAAGTTACTGGTCTATTTTCAATGAGTATAAATTTTGTAAGTTAAATAAATAAATATTATTTAGATAACGATGGTACCCAACACTACAGCTACGTAAGTCAACTAGTGATTTAAACACATATTCAACTTTTTAAAAATTAACCGAGTAATTAAACTCTTATAACTTGCAAGAATTAAGACAATATAAAAAGATCCGATAAATTAAAAAAAATACACGAACATAATTAAATTCAAAAATTCTACTAGTGTGTGCCAAGACCTGGTGTCACAAGTGTATGAGTATCTAGTAGATTATACAAAAATTCTAAATACTGTCTGAAATGAAATAGACAGAATAAAATTTCAAGAAGAGGCACTAGTTGCTGCAGAACGGCTCAGAAAGGCAGCTCACCACTAAGCATCTGGACAACGTGGGTGCGCGCTCATAGGTCCAACTATAGCACCTGTCTCAGGTCCTGCACAAAAAGTGCAGCAAGTGTAGCATGAGTACGTAAACAATGTGTACCCAGTAAGTATCAAGCCTAATCTCAAAGAGGTAATGACGAGAGGTCGACTTTGACACTCACTAAGAGTCAATAATAATAAATAAATAAATATAGAAATATTTAAATCTACATGATTTATAGAATTAATAATAATTTTCTTTAACTAACAGAAATAATTAAATTCCTTCAAATACGACAATTCCCAATTTATTTAACTTCACAAGCTGCAATTAAAATATCAAGGTATCGTGTAATTATTATTATTAGGCACGATTTCTGCCGAGGTCGTACGACCCGATCGAGAGTGTCGCGTATACTACCGAGGGACGTGCGGCGCGATCCATAGATGCATCTATACTGCCGAGGTATTCGGCCCGCTCCACAAGAAAGGAGGACATTTTCTTATGTACCTCCGGAATGAGAATATATATATTATAAGATTAATACAAGATGATGTATAATTTTTTTTAACAATTAATTAATTTATACAAAAGTTCAAGTATATGAGATTTCAATCTTTTACTATTTTCCCTAGCAATTCACAATATAGTTCAAATACATTAATTAAATAAAGAAAATAATTAACACACGTAATTCATGATTTGAGTCCTAAACTACCCGAACTTTAGCATAAATAGTAGCTACGCATGGACTCTCATCACCTCGTGCGTACGTAGCTCCCACAATTAGCAATAATTATTAATTTAAATCACCTATGGGGTAAATTCCCCCTTACAAGGTTAGACAAGAGACTTACCTCAACTTGCTCCAACTTAATCCACTAGTAGGCCTTTTCCTCGATTATCCAACTTTGTATGGCTCGAATCTAGCCAAAATAATTCGATACAATCACTAAAAATTATAGGAATCAATTTCATAAGAAAATACTATATTTTTCAATAAAAATCCGAAATTAATTCAAAAATCGTCAGTGGGGCCCACGTCTCAGAATCCGGCAAAAGTTATGAAATATGAACGCTCATTCAACCATGAGTCTACCCATACCAAAATTATTAAATTCCAATAATAATTCGGCCCTCAAATCTTCAAATCTATCCAAGAGGGTTTTCAAACTTTTCCAACTTAAATTCACCAATTAATTGATAAAAACAATGATGGATTCGGGTAATTTAACCAATATTGAGTTAAGAATACTTACCCCGTTATTTTCTGTGAAAATCTTCCAAATATCGCCCCAATCTGAGCTCCAAATCGGTAAAAAAATAGAAAATGGGACGAAGTCCCATTTTCAGAACTTAAACTCTCTGCCCAGTGATTTCTTCTACGCGATCGCAGATTTGTCCATGCGGTCGCGATGTACAATTCTCCCACTGCCCAAATTAACCCTACGCGATCGCAAACAATGCCACACGATCGTGATGCACAAGATTCCAACTCTACGCGATCGCATCCCTCTTCACGCGATCGCATAGAGCAAACGCGTGGCCCAGTTTCCTCTCAAGTTTCCCCTACGCGATCGCAAATAATGCCACGCGATCGCGATGCATAGACTGGCCTAATCTACGCGATCGCGGTTGACCTCACGCGATCGCAAAAAATAAAATCAACACTGCCTCAACTAAGCCTACGCGATCGCAAATTATCTCATGTGATCGCGTAGAAGAAAGTCACCTCTGCCCAAATTACACTACGCGATCGTAGACGAACTTACGCGATCGCGTATAAGGAAATCAGAAGAAAAATACCAGCGACTATCAGCAATCTCCCAAAGGCCAAAAATGATCCTTTAGCCGTCCGAAACTCACCCGAGCCCCTCGGGACCTCAACCAATTATATCAAAAAGTCCTAAAACATCATACGAACTTAGTCGAAACCTCAAATCACATCAAACAACGCTAAAACCACGAATCATACTCCAATTCAAGCTTAATGAAACTTAAAATTTCTAACTTCTACATTCGGTACCGAAACCTATCAAATCAAGTCCGATTTACCTCAAATTTTGTACACAAGTCATAAATGATATAACTGAGCTATAAAAATTTTCGGAACTGGATTCCGACCCCGATATCAAAAAGTCAACTCCCCGGTCAAACTTTCAAACTTAAATTCTTGTTTTAGCCATTTCAAGCCTAATTTAACTACCGACTTCCAAATAAAATTTCAAACACGCTCCTAAGACCAAAATCACCATACGGAACTATTAGAACAGTTAAATCCCGATTCCGGGATCGTTTTCTCAAAATGTTGACCGAAGTCAAACATAGTATTTTAAGACCAACTTAAGGAACCAAGTGTTCCGATTTCAACCCGAATTCCAAATCCCGAACCAACCATCCCCGCAAGTCATAAATTAATAAAAGCACATACAAGGGTTTTATTTAGGGGAGCGGGGTTCTTAAAGTCAAAATGACCGGTTGTGTCATTACATTCTCGACCTCTTAAACAAACGTTCATCCTCGAACGGATTTAGAATTATACCTGGAGTGCTGAATAAGTGTGGATATCTGCTCCGCATATTTTCCTCGGCCTCCTAAGTCGCTTCCTCGACTGGTTGGCCCCTCCACTGGACTTTTACTGTAGAAATCCTCTTGGACCTCAACTGGCGAACCTGTTTATCAACAATGACAACTGGTCCTTCTTCATAGCCCAAACTATTATCTAGTTGAACTGTGTTGAAGTCTAACACATGTAATAGGCCGGCATGATACTTCCGGAGCATAGATACATGGAAAACCGGATGAACTCCTGATAGATTGGGAGGCAAGGCAATCTCATAAGCAACCTCCTCAACTCGTCTCAACACCTCAAATGAGCCTATAAACCTTGGGCTCAATTTTCCCTTTTTCCCAAATCTCATGATTCCTTTCATCAGCGAAACTGTCAAGAGAATTTTTTCACCCACCATAAATGATAAATCACGCGCTTTCTGATCCGCGTAACTCTTCTGTCTGGACTGTGCCGTACGAAGTTGCTCCTGAATCAACTTTACCTTTTCCAAGGCATCTTTCACCAAATCAGTACCATATAACTTAGACTCACCGGGCTCAAACCATCCGATGGGCGAACGACATCGCCAATCATATAAAGCCTCAAATGGAGCCATCTCGATGCTAGATTGGTAACTGTTATTATAAGCAAACTCGGCCAAAGGCAAGAAATGATCCCACTGGCCTCCAAAGTCAATCACACATGCCCTGAGCATATCCTCCAAAGTCAGAATTGTCCGCTCTGTCTCCCGTCGGTCTGCGGATGAAAGGTTGTGTTGAACTCTACACGGGTCCCCAATTCACTATGTACTGCTCTCCAGAAATGTGAAGTAAACTGAGGGCCTCTATCTGATATGATGAAAATTGGCACATCGTGCAACCGAACTATTTCCTGAATATAAATCTGGGCCAACCTCTCTGAAGTATACGTAGTCACAACCGGAATAAAGTGTGCCGACTTGGTCAACCTATCAACAATCACCCAAACTGCATCAAACTTTCGCAAGGTTCGCAGCAACCCGACTACAAAGTCGATAGTAATGCGTTTCCATTTCCACTACGATATAGTCATCTGCTGAAGTAGGCCACCTGGCCTCTAGTGCTCATATTTAACTTGCTGACAATTTAGACACCTAGCTACATGCTCAACGATGTCCTTTTTCATTCGTCGCCACCGATAATGCTGCCTCAGGTCACGATACATCTTTGTAGCACCAGGATGAATAAAATACCGAGAACTGTGTGCCTCCTCTAGGATCTTTTTCCTCAGTCCATCCACA